TGGAACGCGTTGTTACTTCGACGTCATATTATAAAGATTTACAAATGAAGTAACGTTCGTTGTGTTACTGTACACACTAGCGGGAAACCCAATATGTTTACCAACTCCTATGAGGTTCATCCAAAGTGTCGGGAGTGTGGAGACATATAGTGACTGTGGGCGGAAGCGAAATACCAACCTGGAATAAAATATATCGTCAATTTCTCAAAAAATGGAATAATCAAAATCAGGTGTCCCGGTACGATAAGCGTTTCCTGCACTACAACTTGAAACCGTCAATTTTTTCCATCAACGCGAAGTTTTGGACGATACTTGACGTCGAGAACTGATCAATAATTAGTGTCGTGATCCAAATTCCAATTATTTAAGCCCTATTAAACAAATCCAACCAATCAAGATCTTATTGAAGATGGCACATTTCTCAAGGCCAACGACCACTTTTAGATTAGGTCAAAGATAGCTTCGTGATCCTAGGGCTATCTTCCTAAGCCTAATTAACCACGACTGTACTCACTTCACGTATTATCATGTTAGCAAACCATTGTTCGATTGTTTTGGTACACTCGGGACTATGTATAGAAAGAAAGACCAAAGCATAGTATATATGTCCTGTTCACCGTGTAATAAATAACACATATAGAAACATCGTCTGAACCTTCTTAGACACTATAATTGCATAACTTTGAAACATAGAAATCCGACTGGTAATATTTAACATAGTAGCAGCTTAATAGGCAATTAACAGAAGAAAACCTTATATTGTTTAAGCTAACTAGCACTTAACGGTTGTGCTATAGTCCATTGGGTCAGGATTCAAGGCCGACCAATCATCCGTAGTGACCTTTGACGCAAGTGTCTTGGTAAAGCTCGGGTTTATTTTCTCTATTGCCTCGACTATTCTAACGTTTCATTTATAATAAAGTTATTCATTTAAATAGTGAAGAACAATGGTTATAAGTCAAAAGCATTAGAACAAAGCTAGTATATGTTTGTATACACGTGTTATGTTTATGCATATAAGGTAAGGTTACTGTCCTAGAAAGATATACAATCCCGTGCAAGTAGGTCTGCATTGAATGATAGGTCACACACGATGACAATATATTTTTCAAAATGGACGGTGGTCGGGTTTAGAAAGTATATGATGTACACACTTTTCATCATTTTACCAAGATGATTGGTCGTGATTCCCCGATCAGCCCAAAAACGGTATTGAATGGCCACGTGCATTTCACCGGCTACTCCAGTGTTCTCCCTAATTTAAAACACAATTGTACCTCCTTCTGGGTCAACAAGAGTGAGTAATCAATTAAAACCGTTTTGAAGGTTTTAGCAAAAAAACATATATATTTATTTACATATACGTTCTTACACTGGTAAATGCTCATATGATGTTTGTTTTTTGTCCAGACATTCTTACAAAAAAGCGGTATTACCAAAGCAATAGGTCATTATCGTGAAGTATAAAGAGGTTGAATTTCGAAAGTAGCAACGATTTAAGATTATACTTATTTATTAAGGGCAAATAAGATCGTCTTACTCAAGATCCATATGGAAAGCAACTCCGTATTGAGCTCTGCTAAATGTATGACATAATGTGCTCAATAAATCCGCTTCAGTAAACACATCGTTTACCTTTACCGTTAAAACATACGATTCAATCAACGATGATTATTAAAGGACAACAGTGTGCTAACTTGCTGTTACCAATTTAATTATCTATTCGATCTATACGTGTAACAGTACAGATAAAACCGACAACAATGTCGTATCACGCTTTTATGACCTTACCGGCTTAGTTTTGGGTGGTAGTCTAGAGCGATGAGCGTAACACATACACAGATGACTACACATTAAGACTTTGGTAATAGATTCAGTATATCAAGAAATTAATTTCACTGCAGCATACAGCTGTCTCGCCCCTCTAGGTCACTTCGTTAATGCTGAGTGCAAAACAGTTGGAAATCGAAATTGTCTAAACTACTGTTTAACCAGAGGGGCATATGTGTTTTAAATCCCCTTAATTGTTTTTTTAAATTTCGAGGAGTTCTTGATAATTTCAAATTAAATAAAGTTTGTATATTAGGAACCAGGCCACAACTCAAAAGAGATAAATGTTGCCATCATGATTACAGCACATTTCAGGAACAAAAACTGTTTAGGTAACAATATGCTTTGTGGTACTCTAATGTAGTAACAAACGTAGGGAGACGTCACATTGAGCTCGTAGGCGGGCTGTCAAAATAACGTTATAGATGAATACACAGAGAACCAGTGGACAGGGAAGTACTTTGTACCACTATATCGTTCAATATGGGTGTCTGAGCGCTAGTGCAAAAATCAATTGTACAATGTATAGTTTTCAGCAACCATATATACTGCTTTGCTTTGACCATACGGTGCATTAGTAAAAAGGAAGGCCCAAAACGTTTTTCTTATAAATTTCTGTTTGCCATTCAGCTTGGAAATCAATCAAAAAATATATATAAACTAATACATCACTCTGGAAGGGTGTATCGAGCTAGAATCTTGTAGAAGATACATAAACACACAGCCTCTATCATGGGGAAGAAAAACGGCTTAATCAAGCTAAACTCCGGTCAGCGTAACAGTTGTACAGATGATCAAAGTAAACACTCATGCACCACCAAAGCTTGGTATACAGTGCTTCCCTAGCTGTCATGCTGTCGCTGGAAGTGTTACTATACAGTTTTTATTACGTATTTTTTCTCGATGCGTATGAACCGCTGAACTCTTGTAATATATCAATAGCTTGTTGTTGGATAACTAAATTTCCGAACGAGACATTGAAAACAGTCTACGTCATCGATTTGTGGAGCTTCCGTATTAAGCATAAGTGTTCACTTGGTGATTTTCATGAAATAAAGGAAATTATTCCCTTGTGCTTCAGGAACAATAACGAAACCACACAAGACAGGAAAGAAACGGTGAATGGTGTAGTCGTGACTGTTGTATGCTTCTCCTAAACGCACTCGTGCCTCAATGTGTGTCATCAATTATCGTCCCATACCACACACTCAGTGTGCCTTCAAGTCAAGCGTAGAGAGGATCTTTCATATTCCATTTTGTTTTACGCATTGAACCTCTTCCCTCTTCCTTATATGGGGTATGGTTTCCTCGCCTTTTATGATTGCATATATTGAATTGTCAGTCCAACCAATATTTTACCATTATGGATAAAAGTTTTCTGTCTCCACAATAACATTGTCAGACGGACCTAAATTTTATCATTAATGATTCCTTTCAATCATATTGTCCGATAATCCAAGATGAATCTTTGGCTCTACTTATTTAATTTCAATCAAAATTACCTGTATTCAAAATAGATAAAGATAAACTGGTTAACGGTATGAAAAACACCGCTGTGACATTGTATAACTAGTGTCAGTATAACACGTCTATACAAATGTGGAATTTGGAATTCAAATTTTGTCACGTTACATGTGGCGATATTTATACAACAATGTGATGCACAAGCGTAGATTCATCAAATATTTACAATCTTGGCGCACACGCTTCCCGCGTGTTTTCTGCCACCACACATCGTATAATGTTTCAAAGTTAATTTCGATGGACACTTCGTCGTTCGCACAGCATAAAAATGGGCTGTTAAAGATATCGACTGGTTTTATGGTCAGCAATCTAAACCACCCTTGGTGATCACAAGCTGGGATGGCATCCCTCTCAAGTGACAGCCCCAAAATGTTACAAAATAATAAGACAATTACTTTTTTTTAGAAAAGAGAAAGCAAATTTCTACTCCACTGCAGGCAAAACAGCCTGGATTTTGTGCTCAATTCTAATTTCTTGTTCCAGTTATAAATTATTTAAGAAAAAAAAAATGTTAAAGTTTTGGACAAAAATTGAAGAAATTAGAAGCCGAATACTGTTTTCAATATCTAAATTTGACTTTTTGATGGTTGACATGATTTAGGTGGGTTACAAGAAAGCTGGCTTGAGCACAGAATACAGGCTTGAGCATGAGAACGGTTTCATGAATGCGGGCCCGGGATTCGAATCCTAGACTTCCGATTGATTTACCCTCGCTCTAACCGATTGATTTACCCTCGCTCTAACCGATTGGGCTACCTGGTTAACAGAGGTTTGGTGAACCATCTGTGTTACAGTTACATCGAAACGGAAGTTAAGGGGAGGTAATTGTATGTAAGACAAACCACACTGCAGTGGGGTAGTGATCCTTAACTATTGTTACAATCTTGGTTTTCTCTAATTTTCTTGTCAATTTCTCCAAACATACGACAAAGCAACACAAATACAAATAAAATCCATCTATGTGATGCATTTATTTTAATGCCCGGATCAAGAGGCACAATGAAAACCCGCGATTCATTTCCAATAGCAGAGGCTTGACATAGAATTTAGCTTAAATAATCGATTATCGTTAAATTTGACCAATGTCGGTGATTGAAAACTACTACATGAAACAATTAAACCCCTGAACACATGCGCAATTAACTAAATTATGGCACGTAAACCTTAGACATGAGTGTTGAGATAAACAAAACAAATGTCAATGAAGAGCAAAACATTTATTCTAGAACTTCATCAATCATCAAATGAAAATGTAAGTACATGTACATATGTATCAGTCACTCGAGATGAAACAAAATATACATGAATATATGCAACATTACCATATCCTCTGTTGGGTTATCTTTCTTTATATCGTCTTTTTGATAATGAATTATAGTATCATGCCTGTTTATTCAGAAACGCCTGGCCTTGATCTCCTTGCACTTTTTCAATCGTCTCTTTGTAGATATTCCCTTTGTTCATATTTTGCCATATTTTTTTCGAATTTCAGATTAGTAATCACTTTGATAAATTTTTTTATTCTTTTTTGATAAAGCATTTTTTTCAAGTTCAAAATATATTTTGATATCCTGAGCGATACGCTTAAGGCTCTTTTTAATTGCACACAACTGCGAATGTCATTGACAAGCAAACGGCAGGTTTGGCAACATCTTCTCTAACAGTAGGAATATATATAGTCCCTTCATTATCAGCGCAGTCAAAGCACGGAACCATGCACAGTCGAGCACTGCACTGCGAGGCTCTACTCTTCTGATCATTCACCTATCGACAACGCTTCATTGGTCACGTGGTACGTCTCACTGGTCAAAGAACATATTTGTATCAACATGATGCTATTCTTCAAACGTCACCATTAACAGAAAAAACAGCCTTTTCTTCATCCACTATTGATATATGCAATCAGCTTAATGGCATCATAACAACAGAGAACCTAAGGCGTAATTCATTAGGTGCATTTTTTTAGATAGTTTGATTTCTAGTTAACAACAGTAAATATACTGCAGGGTATAGTCGTTTATGAACAGATATTTAATGAAAAGCTTTAGATAGAAAACACTTTGTTAATCCATGGAATTAAACGGTATTGTTTTAAGGGTTTATACATGCATGAACATTGAACCATGCTGTTTATTACATACATTTCATTCAAAAGTTAACAGTTATTATATATTTAATATACATTTAGGTACAATATATTTTATAGTTATTATATATGTAATTAACATAGAGGTACACTATATCATATATGTAATATACATGTAAGTACACTATATTTTATAGTTATTATATGATTATGCAATAAACATGTAGGTACACTATATTTTATTGTTATTATATATATAATATACATGTAGGTACACTTTATTTTATCGTTATTATATATGTAATATACATGTAGGTACACTATATTATATATGTAATATACATGTAAGTACAATATATTTTATAGTTATTATATATATAATATACATTGTACATGTAGGTACACTATATATTATAGTTATTATATATGTAATATACATGTAGGTACACTATATTATATATGTAATATACATGTAAGTACACTATATTATATATGTAATATACATGTAAGTACACTATATTTTATATGTAATATACATGTAAGTACACTATATTTTATATGTAATATACATGTAAGTACACTATATTTCCGATACTGTGGTGTCTGTGTCATCAGTGACAACGACATTTCTGGAACAGCCTAAGGTCACCAAGATGTTTGCTTCTAACGGTTGTCTCACATTATTTAGGGCGGGGACATTTTTTTTATGTTTAATGTCAAACAGGGAAAATATATACTAGGTCACAAGTGACATTTTTCAGAACATTCCAATGACATTTATTACATGGTAAAGGTTTCAAAACAGTATACCCTATCCCTTTGAATGTAAAGTATTCGTATTCATAAAAAAACTAACACTGAAACTTATTAACACTGACAAGTAAGTCAGCACTTTATTGCAGAACATGAACAGTGAACAAATAGGACAGACAGGAAGTATATTATGACAGTACACACGTCAACAGATACGACACCAGTTTTTGAGTACTGATGACGATATGCATTTCGACACGTATACTGTACATTTTGACACGTATACTGTACATTTCGACACGTTTACTGTACATTTCGAAACGTTTACTGTACATTTCGACACGTTTACTGTACATTTCGTCACGTATACTGTACATTTCGAAACGTTTACTGTACATTTCGACACGTTTACTGTACATTTCGACACGTATACTGTACATTTGGACACGTATTCTGTACATTTCGACACGTATGCTGTACATTTCGACACGTATACTGTACATTTCGACACGTATACTGTACATTTGGACACGTATACTGTACATTTCGACACGTATGCTGTACATTTCGACACGTATACTGTACATTTCGACACGTATACTGTACATTTCGACGACACGTATACTGTACATTTCGACACTTATACTGTACATTTCGACACGTATACTGTACATTTCGACACGTATACTGTACATTTCCACAGAATGGAAGCTCGTTTAAGGACAACATATATTGAATACCATCATTTCTTTCTCAATACCAAATGGTGTTTTAGAACATGTACATTTAACACGTAATTCGATTTGCTTGTCACCATCACGTAATCTGTAAAAGTTCGTAACTACTCACCTAGTCTGCAACAACGACTGTGAAAGATCCAACAATTTGTACGTAATATGTAACAACTAATAGGATTGGCTCATTACAGCACAAGTAATATGTAACAGCTAATAGGATTGGCTCATTACAGCACAAGCGATATGTAACAAGGAATTTGACTCCCTTACCAACAAACATGTAACCAGCAAAAAGCTAAGAGTATTCTCAATGAACCGGGAAAAATATAAGGGATCACTTTTGAAATTCTTAAATCTGATCTAACTTCAAATCGATGCAGTGGGGAATATTGGTTCAATTAACTGCTATTCCAAGATTGATTGCCCACTCTTATAATGTTATTTAATGTACAAGCATTTTTTTCTTATTTTTTTTTTTATGAATATTGAAAACTCCAACCCTCACATGTTACAGGCGACACAGCTCCAACCCTTACATGTTACAGGGGACACAGCTCCAACCCTTACATGTAACAGGGGACACAGCTCCAACCCCTACATGTTACAAGGGACACAGCTCCAACCCTTACATGTTACAGGGGACACAGCTCCAACCCTTACATGTTACAGGCGACATAGCTCCAATCCTTACATGTTACAGGAGACACAGCACCAACCCTTACATGTTACTGGCGACATAGCTCCAACCCTTACATGTTACAGGGGACACAGCTCACACCCTTACATGTAACAGGGGACACAGCTCCAACCCCTACATGTTACAAGGGAGACAGCTCCAACCCTTACATGTTACAGGCGACACAGCCCCAACCCTTACATGATAAGGGGACACAGCACCAACCCTTACATGCTACAGGCGACATAGCTCCAACCCTTACATGTTACAGGGGACACAGCTCCAACTCTTACATGTTACAGGGGACACAGCTCCAACCCTCACATGTTACAGGGGACACAGCACCAACCCTTACATGTTACAGGGGACACAGCTCCATCCCTTACATGATACAGGGGGCACCGCTCCATCCCTTACATGTTACAGGAGACAGAGCACCAACCTACACAGCTCCAACCCTCACATGTTACAGGCGACACAGCACCAACCCTTCCATGTTACCGGCGACACAGCTCCAACCCTTACATGATACAGGGGACACAGCTCCATCCCTTACATGTTACAGGGGACACAGCTCCAACTCCCACATGTTACAGGAGACACAGCTCCACCCCTTACATGTTACAGGGGACACAGCTCCAACCCTCACATGTTACAGGCGACACAGCTCCAACCCTGACATGTTACAGGGGACACAGCTCCACCCCTTACATGTTACAGGAGACACAGCGCCAACCCTTACATGTTACAGGCGACATAGCTCCAACCCTAACATGTTACAGGGGACACAGCTCCAACCCTTACAAGATACAGGGGACACAGCTCCATCCCTTACATGGTACAGTGGACACAGCTCCAACCCTTACATGATACAGGGGGCACAGCTCCATCCCTTACATGTTACAGGGGACACAGCTCCACCCCTTACATGTTACAGGTGACACAGCTCCAACCCTTATATGTTATAGGTGACACAGCTCCAACTCCCACATGTTACAGGGGACACAGCTCCAACCCTTATATGTTACAGGTGACACAGCTCCAACTCCCACATGTTACAGGCGACACAGCTCCAACCCTTACATGTTACAGGCGACATAGCCCCAACCCTTACATGTTACAGGGGACACAGCTCCAACCCTTACATGTTACAGGTGACACAGCTCCAACCCTTATATGTTACAGGTGACACAGCTCCAACTCCCACATGTTACAGGGGACACAGCTCCAACCCTTACATGTTACAGGCGACATAGCTCCAACCCTAACATGTTACTGGGGACACAGCTCCAACCCTTACATGTTACAGGCGACATAGCTCCAACCCTAACATGTTACAGGGGACACAGCTCCAACCCTTACATGTTACAGGCGACATAGCTCCAACCCTTACATGTTACTGGTGACACAGCTCCAACCCTTATATGTTACAGGTGATACAGCTCCAACCTGTTACAGGCGACATAGCCCCAACCCTAACCCTAACATGTTACAGGGGACACAGCTCCAACCCTTACATGTTACAGGCGACACAGCTCCAACCCTTACACGTTACAGGAGACACAGCATCAACCCTTACATGTTACAGGAGACACAGCTCCAACCCTTACATGTTACAGGGGACACAGCTTCAATCCTGACATGTTACATGGGACACAGCTCCAACCCTTATATGTTACAGGGGACACAACACCAACCCTTACATGTTACAGGAGACACAGCACCAACCCTTACATGTTACTGGCGACATAGCTCCAACCCTTACATGTTACAGGCGACACAGCTCCAACCCTTACATGTTACAGGAGACAGAGCACCAACCCTGATATGTTACAGGTGACACAGCTCCAACCCTGACATGTTACAGGCGACATAGCTCCAACCCTGACATGTTACAGGAGACACAGCACCAACCCTTACATGTTACAGGAGACAGAGCACCAACCCTTACATGTTACAGGGGACTCAGCTCCAACCCTGACATGTTACAGTTACAGGGGACACAGCTCCAACCCTTTCATGTTACAGGAGACAGAGCACCAACCCTGATATGTTACAGGAGACACAGCTCCAATCCTTACATGTAACAGGAGACAGAGCACCAACCTTGACATGTAACAGGGGAGACAGCTCCAACCCTTACATGTTACTGGTGACACAGCTCCAACCCTTATATGATACAGGGGACACAACACCAACCCTTACATGTTACAGGAGACATAGCTCCAACCCTTACATGATACAGGAGACACAGCTCCAACCCTGACGTGTTACAGGCGACATAGCTCCAACCCTGACATGTTACAGTTACAGGGGACACAGCTCCAACCGTTACATGTTACAGGAGACACAGCACCAACCCTTACATGTTACAGGTGACACAGCTCCAATCCTTACATGTAACAGGAGACAGAGCACCAACCTTGACATGTAACAGGGGACACAGCTCCAACCCTTACATGTTACAGGGGACACAGCTCCAACCGTTACATGTTACAGGAGACACAGCACCAACCCTGACATGTAACAGGGGACACAGCTCCAACCCTT